ATCTTTTCTTTTGCTGGAGGAGTTTTGATAGAGATACGGCTCGTCAAAACCACTAAAATCATAACATAAAAATGCATTGTGGAATATTCGAAAGCTTCTTTTTTTTTAGTCCAGCAAGGTGGTAAACATAAAATAAAAAAGCAGAAAGAGAAATGAGACTTTTATTTTGATCGAATTTTCTATTTTATATATTTTATTTTACTTTTACAAAAATTTTACAAAAAATGGGAATTTTTTCTTGTTGCTTGAATATTAACTATTCAATTAAAATGAAATATTACAACTATAACAGGCATTTTGGTTTTCAAATTCAAATTCGTTGGAACAAAAGAGGCCCGGCTGGGTACTGACCAGACCAGGCCATGAGAATAAGAGGGTCCTTTCGAACAAAATCAAGACAAAGAAAAGAGGTCTTCTTTATTTTTCTTGATATTCTTGGCTCTTCTGAGCCCTTCCTTTACTTTAGATAAAGAAATAAAGGAAATTGATGATAAAAGTTGTACATATCTATATAATATAGAAAGAAGAAAAGAGAGAAAGAAGGATTCTTTCCTTTATCTTATGTGCTATCTCATGTAGTAATTATCTTTTTCAATTGGGAGAGATGGCTGAGTGGACTAAAGCGGCGGATTGCTAATCCGTTGTACGAGTTAATCGTACCGAGGGTTCGAATCCCTCTCTTTCCGTTGATGACTTGATTTTTTTTTTCAAATTCCGAAATCCTTTGTTCTTATTCTTAGTTAAATGTGTGGAATAGACCAAATCATAAGAAAATTGGAAAATCAAGCAAGGAAAAACCCTTTTTATTTTATTCTTCACGTCCAGGATTACGTCCGGGATCATTAGATAGGAATCCAAAGATGAAGAGAGAAACAAAAAATATCACTACTGTGTAAACGAAGAGTTTGAGAGTAAGCATTACACAATCTCCAAGATGATTTTTTTGAAAAAAAGAGAATAGATCATCCATTTTTCTACCGCATATGCTAGTTTGACACCAGGCAATGAAGCTCTTTCTCTAAAAGAATTTTCATAAATTCTTTTCTACTAAGAGTTTGTCATTAACCAAAATTTTTTTATATACACAATTAGGTATTGTGAGGAGCCTAATAAGGTCTTTCACTGGAAAGGAAAGCGTCAAAAAATAAGGAAATAAGTTAAGCCGGATTTCTCGTGACTATCCAAGAATTTCAATGTTTGAATCGAGGTTTCAAAGGGTAAAGCTTATCTGATTTTATTTATTTTAGAATTTTTTCTCGAATAAATCATGAATTTTCTAGGATATTATTAAGGATCTCATCGAAAACTTACAGCAGCTTGCCAAACAAAGGCTAAGAGAAAAAAGAACAGAGGTATGACTGGCATAATATCTACGATTGGATTCAAAAAAGCATAGGCCTCGGGCAATTTGCCGAAGAAAAAACTACTCGAAAAAAGGGTCGAATTAAGACAGATACCGATCAAACTCAAGGTATTAAGCATAACAGACTTTTTGTTCTTGGAGATAATTGCATTTTGATTGAGTTATTGATATAAGGAAAAGGAAAGTAAGTAAGGTAAACAAAAAATACTTCTTTTTCTTTGAACCCACCCAATCAAAAATCCTCCTTTTCTCAAAGGAGAATCGAAAAAATCATATTTTCATACAATATCTTAATTGAATTATATGTAATGATCAATAAATTAAGTTGAATTCTATATCTACACATACCAAAAACATCGCAAAATCCTAGTACCAATCTAATCTATTCTATAGATATTTGGACTAGAGTTGACAAACAAACAAAACAAGCAATATACTTTCTTAGTATCGAATAGAAATCCAAATGGGGCGTGGCCAAGTGGTAAGGCAACGGGTTTTGGTCCCGCTATTCGGAGGTTCGAATCCTTCCGTCCCAGAACATATATATTCTATGAGAATATAGATTGCTTTTTTAACAATGTTCTGTTTAAAATCGAAATGTTAGCTGGAATGTGATTCTTGTTTCTGATTTTTTTNGGTCTTACCACCAAGGAAGAGCTAGGGTTTCTCGTTGGATTGAGATTGAGCATCGTGTTTTCAGGAAATGGGGAAGAGAATGGCATGTATCAAAGTAGAGAGAGAAAGAAAATAGTGTAACTGAATAGCGTATTTAGTGGCTTAGGGTAGGAGGTAACCAAAATTAGATATTTTGCTATAAACATTAAAAGGTATTTATAGAATATAACTTTTTTAAATGGTATTTATTTAAAATAAATAAAGTGTTAACCTTTACTATAGGAGGTAAAAATTCCTAAAAAATTAGTAGTAATGTTCATTACTGAGACGAAAAGCAAATCGAACCTTTAGTTGTGCTAAGCTACGTAGAGATATGGTTTATTTTAAAATGGAAAGAACATAACTTTACCAGCTTCTCATAAAGAGTCATTAATTACTATAAATTTTAATTACACTGAGGTGGCAGGAAAAGGTGAGATAGCGACAATTGAACCTGTGGAGACATTCATTAATACACAAAAATTACTCCATCCGGTTCAAAATGTTAACCTTTACTATCTCTTCACATAAACACTTCTAACACATACTCCAACACTATTTACTCCAAGGGCAATGTAGAAAAAAATAATTAATTTATTCTTGAAATCTGGAAAAATCACTTATTTTGGACAGGAGGGAGTGTAAGTTAAGGCAGTTAGGCTGTTACTTCAGAGTTTTCTTGTATAACACAACTGTCACATTTCAGGAAAACGTGGCCAACAAAGAGCTAGTACCATGAAAGACGAGTCATCTGTCAAAATAAACTTCCATCTCTTTCAATTCCAACCTACGCTATCTTCTATTTTCAATTTAACTTTTTTTTTAATATTGTGTAAAATGAATGCTACAACAGTACTGAGTTCAGAAGAGAGGGGGCCTAGAAAGACAGCAGTTCAAGTTAGGTAAAAATAATGTTAGACCTGAATACAAATTACTGTTTGAGTTACTTTTAACAAACTTCAACTTGAAAATCACAAACATCTATGAGCAAAGGCAACATGGCAGCAATTCAGAAAACAAAATTGCCAATGCTGCTAACTAGACTCTCTCTTCAAAATGAAATCCACTGCCTCTTCAACAGTGTCGACCACCTGCAGAAGCAGCAAATAAAAATGAGTTGGTGCTTATGCATGATATAAAATTCAGACTTTGGAAGGTTAGGATGATTCACGTTCAAACCTCTCAAGAGATTCAAATGAAAACTCGGTTCACAGTTAAAATCTAAATTTCTCTCAGGGAAGTACATAGGAGAGGCCAAAGGAAGAGGAGAGTAAATTCTATGAAACACACTTGCCTCCTACCGACAGAATGATGTTGGAGGGCTTCAAAGGTTACGTAAATCATTCACTAGAGTGGAAAACTAAAGTGGTGTTTGATTGGAGCTAAAGCTATGTTTCTTAGATTCTCCGAAAATGTCACCGGGTTCGTGTCGGATCCTTCAAAAGTAGTATATTTTTGGAGGATTCAACACGGGTGCAGCAGCATTTTGGAGAGTCCGCACAACATAGGGTAAAAGAGGAATGGTGGGTGGAGAAGAATTGAAGGTGAGGGAATGAGGTCTAGTAAAAAGAGGGCAAGTGAAAAAGAAACACTCGGAATCATTTTTTTTGTCCCTCTGAAGTCGGTTGTTCAGGGAAATTATCTATTTTACTTGTTCGGTCTTACCAAAAGACAAAAAGTAACTCTACCTTGCCATGGAACCAACGCAGTAGTAATTGCATCAAAAAGATTGATTCTAGGGGTATGGGAGTTTTGAAAATTGACGCAAGAGAATTGATAATGAGCAAGGGAACTTTGAAAACTGAAGCACAAGAATTGATAATGAGCAAGGCAACTTTGAAAATTGAAGCACAAGAATTGATAATGAGCAAGGGAACTCATGCATCAGTACAGAATAGAAACTTACTAGATCAGCAGGAAATTCTGCATGATTTCCTCTTTCCTTGAAAACACCAGTCCTCGTCAAAATTGAAAACCACGGATGCCCTGCCTAAAATTGAACAGTATGCTCGTTACAAATAACTTCAAGATAGTGACGATCTCAAGCAATCTGTCTGTAGTAGGGCTCGGATGAATCATGTTAGCAAGCCACTAAACCTAACTTTACTGCTTCCTTTTATTTTTATTTTATTTAGTTTTTATTATGTTACTTTTGTAGTGTTGTTCTTNCAAGACGCTCGCAAGAAAATGCTGCCTGCCTAAGTTGACACCCGATTAGTACTCTCAATAATCAAACATCATTCAAGAGGCTAGAATAGAAGCTATTCTGTAAATATACATTCATAATAAGAAGAAAGGTCAGATTTGGCCCATAATGTCAGTGTCGGAGATGCATGTAGAGAACAATAGAAACTGTTAAAAGAAAGCATCAACTATCTCCTATCTGGTACTAGATGATTAATGCATGCTGGTTTTAATGTTTTTCCTTTGATTCCATGATTAAGTTCATTCTTGAAAAGACGCAGAATCATCTTTGACAAAAAAATGTCATAAAAGGTGGTGCAGGTGGTGCAGGTGGTGCAGCTCTACAGATGTACAGATACTCTAACATAAGTGAGTGGGGTATATCTAGGGTTAACTTTATTAGCAACCTGGTATTCAAGATCATCGGCAGCAAAGTATAAATATGGCTGATGCTCACACTCCTTCCCAGGAAGACCTCCAGATGTCAAAATATCACAGAGGACCTGTATCACTCAGCTAGTAAGCAGAAGAAGAATACATGAGAGTAAATTAGAGAAAGACCAGAGAAAGTATGTGCAAGGGAAACACCATTACAGGAAGAGGGAGAGAGGGATCCCCGGGGGAGGGGGGGGGGGATGCAATTAAAGTTGTTTTGCTTTTCATTTACTCCCTAGTTCCCGTATGGAAAAAAAAGGGGAAATGATTGATCATCTTCAGTTTCTGTTCTCTCTGCACACCTTATTTTAGTTTTTTTTTTTTTTTTTTTTTTTTTTTTTTTTTTTGGGATAAGGTAAAGGTTTATTAAAATAGTACCAGATTGGTACCAAAAGAAATACATAACTGCTGGGAATATCCATGCAGTCAGTTACAGTATTTCCTTAGCAACTCCAGAAGATCCATGTAATGATCAATACTATCAACCACACTGCTCTTACACCCGGTGGCGAAGCTAGAAATTTCTTTAAGGGTGTTCAAATTTAAAAAAAGTGAAAAAAATTTACGACAAAGGGTGTTCAATATATGTTATATACCTCTAAAACGTAATATTTTACCTACGTACACAGTATAATTTTTCGACGAAGGGTGGTCAGTTGACCACCCTTACAAGCATGTGGCTTCGCCACTGCTTACACCAATGAAACAAATTGTGCAAACACTTGTTCTCAATTCTAATAAAAAGACTCACTGCCCATCAAAGCAAGCTCTATTCCTCTCTAGCCAAAATGCCAAATAGTCCCAGAATATACATAGAGGGATGGTTCTCCAAATCTGCTTTAATGCTTTATGTGTCTTCTGTTGCTGCAAACTCTCCAATAAGGCCCTAACTCTATGAGGCATGATCCAAGAAATCCCACATATACTGGGAAAAAATCCCAGCACTGTCTAGCAAATCTACAATGCAAAAGAAGGTGGTTCACAGTCTCAATTCTTCTTCACATGAGTAGCATCTACTACAAAGAACAAAGCCTCTCTTCTGCACACTTTAGCTCTCTAGTAGTATTCTTCCAAGGTTTTATCATGATGAAACAAATAGGCGAAGAAAGATGCAGTCCCATTATGTTAGCTTCTTTGCTAGACTAATATGCCAAGAAAGGAAGAAAACCAATATCAAGAAGTTCAATACATGCAAACAATTTGTCTTCAACCAATCTGTTAATCATTTCTCATTGGTCTTGCGCCTCTATCATGCAGCTCTAAAGCACTGCATTTTAGGTAAAAGCATTTGGAATAACTTCTGATGATGTGGTAGCTTACTTCTGTTGATAGCTAAAGTTGCTGGTGCCGGAGTACCCTGTCTAATTGAGAAAAGCATATGATGGTATAGTCCAGGTATTTCCTACTGGCTGGAAATATAAACAGCACATGGCTTCTTGTTCAAAAACTTAGCTACAAGTAGAGCATGAAACACTACTTACTTGGCTGAGTGAATATGACCAAAGACCCTTTTTCCTTAATCTATAACTACAAATAATGTATATAGAACGCATCAAAGAAGCTGCAGAGAGGAAGGATCTTTATCCTAACAAGCAGAGATAAAATGTTAGCTATATATAAGGGCCATCTCTTCCCGTTCCCTCCATTTCCCTTCTACAAAGTGAGACACGTGTTTCATATTTTGTAAATTTCAATCATGGGCTGAGTTACAAAAACATACACCTGTAATTTCCTACTACTCTTTTATACTGTTGTGACAAATAACAATGGAATTATTACTTCAAGATCAAAGTAGAAAGCAAAACCATCTTCTTTGTCCATTTACCAAGAGTTCGGAGCAAATTTACCTGTATATCCCTCCCCCAATCAACAGGATCACTGGCAACAAATACTGCTTTAACTCTATCAGAGTAAACATCTATCTGTGGTGCCAACTCTGAAGAATGTCTTGGCCAATTAAAGGGCTTTGTTGTTCTTGTCCATCTTTTGAATTGAGCTACGGGATCAATGTCATCAAAGTATGATGTATACTCTTCCAGGGAGAGAACTTTTCTGGCCATAGTTTTGATAGCAAAAGAAGTAAATATCAATGCTTCCAGGAGAACTTCAAAAATATGAAGGCCAATAAAAGCTAGAAACTTACTTGAAACCATATGCAGACATCACTTCAGCAGGTTCACCTTTTCCGGTGACAACAATTAGTTCATTCTCATATCTAGTAAAAGACAAAACCAATTGAAAATTCCGGACTTTCAGGATCTATGTGGTATAGTTGGAAGACTGAAGTAGTTTCATATAGACTCTTAAAGTGCGGAACAGCACAGGAGACTAAGGCAAAAGAAACAGAGCTCTATTGCTAGTGATCTGCACGATTCAAGGAAAATTTTACTATTGTTACAGCAAATCTGAAACTTGTAGACACTTCTAATTTCTCCAACAATAATACTTCTATTAACACAGAAAACGGCACCTTACAAAGTTCTCTATTGTGGCACCTTTCTTTTCAGAAATGACGACTAAGTGAAGGATTAAGCATAGCAGGAAGATGTTTATATTTAAGAGGACCTACTTCCAATAACGTTATGCAGCATTTACCTCTTTAGCAAATTTCTAAAAGGTGAGTGCCCTTGCACAACCTGCATCCATGAACATACAATTTAGATCTTTCTCCCTCTGCTAAGAGTTGTTTTTCCTTTAGGAAATCCCTCTCCTGTAAGAGTTAGCACCATGTAAGCAACAGGAGAACCAGGATGGTGCTTTCAGCTGAAGAGTGAACCAACATAATAAAAAGCATACTAGTATTCATCAGTTTTGCAAGATTACCTGAGCAGGTAATATCTTTACTCCAAGGAGTTCACTTAACTCAGCAGCTCTTTTAGACTCTGGGATGCCACCTCCTGCAGCAAGATCAGACCGACATAAAACTTGCTGCCCATTATCATGTTTTATAACAGAATGTAACTGTTGAAAATTGTACGTAATGATGATATCATCTATAAATGCCAACATGGTAAAACAGAGGAGGAAAGTTTCTGTATACAGATTGATATTAACTCATTTTATGAAGTGCTAACAATAAATAAAGTCAAAACAGGAAGAAGGCTAGAAGCTGCAGTTTTTCCAATACAGATTGCCATGAAATCATCCACGCAAGATGTTCAAAATTCATTTAGGGGAAACAAGGATAAAAATTCTGAACACCTGACTATGTCTACTACAGCTTTAGTGAGCAATAAAAGGAAGGATATAATTCGAATATTTTTAGACCTCACTAATCACCATACAGATGGAACGAGGACATGTGACATGATATCTAGTCAAATTCTCCTAGTGTCCAGTTACTCTTTTTAGCAGAGGCTCTGTGAGACTGACCACTAAATTCCTTCGACCAGATAAGCAAACTACAGTTTTAGCAAATATTTCAGCTACTGGAGATGTTAATTAGATGTATATAATGAATTCCTAGTAAATTTCAGTCAAAAATGATTGAAAAGAATCTGAAATAGCTGGATCAATTTTATAAATGACTAACCAGATATACTAGATCAAGAGAAAAAAGGTTTATGTCTCAACTAGCTAAGCTAAATCATGTAGTTATATTGAGAGTACTAACCATTTGTCAAGAACAAAAAGGGAAGCTTCAGATTGCCTGCATCAAGGATAAAGCATTACGATGTGACAAGTACATACCTTGTATCATTCAGTATATGAAAAAAAACAAAGCATGTTTATCAACATCAGACCAGACCTATCTCTTTCTCGTCAATATTGTCTATTAACAAGTGTACATGATATCACATCATAGCAACAATTAGAAGTCAAAAGATTTCATAAAATAGAAATTGTTCCTACAGGTTGATACTTGATTCCACTTAACACAAAGATTGACCAAAAGCACAACAACAACAACTACACCTCAGTCCCAACCAAGTTGGGATCGACTATTAATCTTCACTAACCATGTTACTCCATTTAAACTCATCTCATGCCAATATTATGTAAATACAAATGAAAAGTATTAGAAGTTCTCTCTATTTTCTACATGTGTATATCTCTGTAAGGCTAAACTACTCCAAGAAAGCATAGAACCTGCAGAAAAAGTGCTAACAGCTTGTTTGGATGGTTGTTCCTCGTTGTATTGTATTGTATTGTTATCCCAAAACAATGTTTGTTTTGATTGTTTCATTAAAATTGGTTGTATTGTATTGTTAAATCCATTGTTCCGGAACAATGAAAAGTCCCCTTTTTTGAAACAACCGATTTGGTGTGGTGTGATTGTTTCCTATTTTTCTTTCCAATTATGCCCTAACTTATTACTCTATGATTCTATTTTACCCTTTACCTTTTTTCTATTTTAGCTCCAAATCTCCAACTTATAACCTACTTTGTTTTTTTCCAGACCAATGTTAAAGGTGTTTTGTTGCCTCCTATTTTATTTTTTTCTCCTAATTTGCTAGTAACTCAATTCTAATTAGTTGTGCTCCTTTGTTTTGCCTTTTTCTGTCTCGTTTTTTAAAATTATTTTTATACATAATTTTGATAAATTTAATATTTAAACAATTGAGGGTATTTTAATAAACTTATCAGTTACAATACAGTACGATACAGTCAAACCAAACAACAAAATATTATTTAACAATAACAAACAATACAATCTATCCAAACATTGTATTCATAAAATGATACGGTACAATACGATACAATACAATACAATACATTATAAAACGATAGGGAATAATGATCCAAACAGAGGGTAAAATGTCTAAAACATACTCTCAACCAAAAGAACAATGTAGAAATATCTCAGCTTAGTAAAATGCAACAAATACAACTTGCAAAACCAACAAACCAAAATGTTCATGCAATTAGACCCTCTACAGACTGACCCGTATCAAGAAAAATATATGTAAGCTAATCCATAACAAAAAGTTGCTAACTGTAAGCAGCTATAAAATTATACCCGACTCATCATACAGTCTCCGGAGAGCACTGGGAGAATTCCCAATTGGAGTTCGGCCACGGAGTATAACCCCATCTATATCAAATGCTATCCCACATGAAGACCTGCAACCACTCAAATTCAGGAAAAATACACACACAAAAAAGCATATGTTTGTTTCAATGTAATGATACAGAACTGTAGTGGAAGCGAATGAAGCAGAGAGAAACAGCAAGCAGGTCGCAATCGAAGCCAAGAGAGTGGCCATGGCTGATTACTAAGTCGAAACCTCATTTCTTCCTCTTCCCTTTTGCGTTTCCCCTCCCAATTTTAATATTTTATGGAACAGATTCTTTTTGAACTTCTGGACCATACAACTCTCTTTTGTCAACTTCCATTGGAGTCACATTTCCAAAATGAACATATTTTGTTTTTCTTTTCTTTTTTTGGGTTAATACAAAATCCCCAAAGTTATCATTTCATGCAACTTTCACCCCTAAATTATGAAGTGGAATATCTTTATTACCCCTGATTTTTAATATTCCTCTTATTGTCTCCGGGCGAGAAGAGTTGTCGCGTGAAGTTCGCGCCATACACGTGTCAGCTTAAGCCAAGTGGCATGACACGTTATTTTTTTTTTTTCAGAATAAAAATTCCTTAAATTTAATACCATTGTGACTTACATATCTAAATTATTGGATGATTCTATTATTTTCATGATCTTCAGTCTACTAGCACTTCCTGAACAAAAGAAAATCATCGTATTTCTTTAACATCTTCCAAATTTTGAACGTTTGATTCTAAAAAAATTTCTAACGTTAGATTGGTAAAAAGAAGTTTAATTCTTTTTTTTTGATATATTAGGGTTATTAAAAATTGAACTTAAAACAACAAAAAAAAAGTTTGGGCCTTTTTGAAATTATTGTGTTTTTATACCTTTTGTTTCTTTTAGGGAACAATTAATACTCATTGAGCTTAAAATAATTATTATTCCTACCCATCTGAGAACTATTTAAATATATACCCACCCAATTAAAACTAATTACCCACCTACTCACACTCATCCCAACTTTTTTTTATCCATTTAGCTTAGTTTAGCTTGATTTGGCTTGGCTAAGCTTGAATTGGTTGGCTTGACTGGATTTGGCTTGACTTGGCTTGAATTGACTTGACTTAGCTTGGTTTAGTAGCTTAGTTTGACTTTATTTGGTTGGCTTTGACGGAGTATTAAAAAAAATGGGTAGGAGAAAAAACTTATGGGCAGGGGCGGGTAATAATTTTGTGCCGCCTAGGTATTTTCCAAAGAAACATCAATATTTTGTGTGTCTATAATCTTAGGGAATAGATGACATTTACAACTGCGTTTCTTATTACTGATTAGATTTTGTTGAAATACATAGTTGTACACCATGTAATTATGATAGTACCCTTCTAGAAGAAATATTAGTTAGTAGGGTTAGTCGGTTAGCACAGTAGGAGTAAGGTCGGTTAGAGGATTGGTTAAGATTGCGATTATATATATGTGTATGCATTGTACATTTTGGACAAATAACAAAAAATCAAAAATTACAAAAGATCTCTCTATTCGGCTGCCTCTCTCTTTCTATCTTAGTTGTCATTTCTTCTTCTTCTTCTTCTTCTTCTTCTTCTTCTTCTTCTTCTTACTCGAGCTTCCATCTCATCAATGGCTGCCACAGTATTCATCTTAACATGGTATCAGAGCTAAGCTCACAACGCTTGGTGGCAGCAATCTCGTAGGAAGCTCAGATCTGATATTTCACTTCTCTGATTCAATTCCCCCAATTTTTTATTCAAATTTCTTGCACTGCTGAAGTTTTTACCAAATTACACTAAAACCTAAAAATGGCGATTGATACACCTCAGAACACAATAGGGACCTCACATGCAAGCTCTCAGCAACTTGATTGCAATGATCCCTCTATGTGCATCCGTCCGATACGCCAGGTGTGGCACTAGTGCCACGATTGCTGATTGGAACGGAAAACTACTCGGAGTGGAGTAGATCGATGAAGATGTCGATGCTTGTGAAGAACAAAATCGGATTTATAAATGGAACGTGTGGTAGAGAGACTTTTGTGGCTAATAGCTTTCAATTGCACCAGCGCAAAAGGTGCAATGCAATTGTCCAATCATGGATAATAAGCTCTGTAGCGCAGGAGTTGAGGAAAGGAATCGTGTATTCATCCAATGCACAAAAGGTATGGGAAGCTTTCAAGGAGCGTTTTGATAAGGTAAATGCAACAAAAGTCTATCATATGAACACAGAAATAAGTAGTCTAATGCAGGGAATCTCCCGTGTGTCGATATATTACTTGAAGTTGAATGATCTGTGGGCTGAATTTGAGTCAATTATACCATTTTCTGGTTGTGATTGTGTGGGATCTAGGCTATTTGTCGATTTTCTACCCCAACAGAAGTTGATGAAATTTTTGATGAGATTAACACATATGCACCTCAAAGGAGCCGAATTTTAATGATAATTCCCACTCCCACACTTGATCAAGCATACTCTATGATCATACAGGAAGAAAGCCAGAGGATGACTGAGACTTCAATGTCACAGAGTGATGTTCTGGGGAGTGGACCTATGGAAGGTTCCAGCAGTGCCTTAGATGCAGCTAATGCAACCAACATAATGCCTAAGCGTAACACTAATCTTTACTATGACTATTGTCACATGAAGGGCCATAAGAAGGAAAACTGCTATAAGCTAATTGGATACCCCTCCAATTCTAGGTTTGACAACAGAAGAAGAGGTGGATTTAAGAACCACAACCAAATACCTACAACTCATAATGCGGGTATGACTGATAAAAGGGAGATGCAATTTGAAAACCTGAACAATATAATATCACCAACAGTACCAATGTTTACCTTAGAGCAGTACCAACAGATTCTAAAGTTACTGAGCAAGGAGAATGAGCTAACTGAAACAACAAACATGGAAGGTATATCTAATACTACTCAAAATTACTGGATTATTGACTCTGGAGCTTCAAATCACATGGCTTCATCTTTGAACATGTTACTAAATCCTAAGACTGTACCAAATAACCAACCCAACTGTGTCCAATTACCTAATAGAAATAACACCAAAATCACTCACACTAGATCCTACCCTATACTTCCTACACAAACTATACAAAATGTGTTATACGTGCTTGACTTTAAATATAATCTCCTCTCTATTTCTAAGTACACAATGCTCAGTTAACTTCTATCCTAATTTCTGCCTGTTTCAGGACCTCTTCAGTGTCATGGTAAAGGGTATTGGTAGACTCAGGGGTGGCATGTACATCCTCAATCCATTTACACATGCTGCTGCTCTCTCTTTAAAATGTATGTCTTCTTCAGTTCAAATCCATTATGATGGTTTGTGGCATCAAAGGCTAGGCCATGTCCCAGTTGCTGTTCTACAGAAAATACCTACAATAAAAGATCATGTGTCTAAGTCAACCAATAATACTTGTACTATATGTCCATTAGCCAAACAAGTTAGATTACCATTTCCTAGTAGTGTAACCAGGGCAACTTCTCCATTTAGTCTATTCATATGGATGGTTGGGGTCCATATACAATGTCCACTAACAATGGTTTCAAGTACTTCCTTACTCTTGTTGATGATTACTCCAGAATGACTTGGACATTCTTATTAAGATTGAAAAGTGATGTCTATGTTGTATTGGTTGATTTTCTGTAGTTAATACACAATCAATTTTCTACTTCTATTAAAGTTTTCAGATTTGATAATGGGCATGAATTTTTCAATTCTCTATGTTCTACCCTATTTAGATCCAAAGGTATAGTCCACCAAAGTAGCAGTGTTCATACTCCACAACAGAATGGGGTGGCGGAAATAAAACACAGGCACATTCTTGAGATAGGAAAATCATTAAGGTTTCAAGCCCATATACCATTACGATTCTGGGGAAATTGTATCCTAATAACCACATACATTATAAATAGATTACCTAGTCTAACATTAAAAGGTCAATCACCTTATGAAGTATTTCATGGTCAGCCACCCAAGCTTGACCATATGAGAACCCGTGGATGTCTTTGTTATGCCACAAAACCCAATTTCAATGATAAATTTACCCCTAAATCCATTCCTGCAATCTTTATGGGGTACTCATCTACACAAAAAGGCTACAGACTGTATGATATTGAGTCTAACAATTTCCTCTGTAGAGATCTTGTCTTTCAAGAAAATGTCTTTCCCTTCAAATTTTCTAAAAGTCAGTTCCTTATAGCTCCATATTTGAATTTCTCACCATCTACAGACTTCCCTAACACTGCCTCACCTAATCATTCACCTCAACAATCTGACCACTCACCTCAACAAGCTTCCATATCTGATACCTCTCTCATATCCTCTTCCTATGATCAATCTGTTGATTCTTCTGAATCGCAATCTCCTAAAGCTCCTGTTGCTCCCTTTAACTCTATTTCTGCTTCTCCACCCCCCGTTCAATATACTCCAGTTCCTCTTAGAAGGTCAGGAAGAACTACCAAACCTTCTATTTGGTTAACAGACTATGTCCATCCACCCTTTCCTTCTACCTCCAATTGCATCAACTATCCTATTCATCATCGTGTCTCCTATGCTCACCCGCCTCTACACTATCAATCCTTTTTTGCCTCCTTCTCTACTGATTTTGAAGCATCCACTTTCTCTTAAGCAACCAAAGATGATAGCTGTGTTCAAGCAATGGAGCTTGAGATTGAGGCTCTAGAGGACAATCACACTTGGGAAGTAGTAGACCTACCTGCTGGGAAAGTTCCCATTGGATGCAAGTGGGTGTATAAGATCAAATACATTGCTGATGGGTCAGTGGAAAGATTTAAGGCAAGACTAGTTGCTAAGGGGTACACGCAGCAGGAAGGTCTAGATTTCCATGATACTTTTTCACCTGTAGAAAAGCTTACAACTGTTAGAACCGTTATAGCTACTGCTGCACTGAAGCATTGGCCCATTTTCCAAATGGATGTGCACAATGCATTCCTAAATGGGGATCTTGATGAGGAGGTCTACATGACATTGCCCTAGGGATTTGGTAGCCAGGGGGAGTCTAAAGTGTGCAAACTACTCAAATCCTTTTATGGGTTGAAGCAAGCTTCTGGACAGTGGAACCTTAAACTCACACAAGCCCTCATAATTGCTGGTTTTCAACAAAGCAAACATGACTATTCTCTGTTCACTAGACTGGTCGAAGACAAGTTTGTTATAATGTTTGTGTATATAGATGACATCCTGATAACATGAGATGATTTAACAGAAATCAACCAAGCTAAAGCATCACTTCAACAGAACTTAAAACTGAAGGACCTAGGAGAGCTAAGATACTTCCTAGGTATTGAATTTGCTAGGTCAAAGGAAGGAATATTAATGTTGCAAAGGAAG